ACACGGTCTTCTTTAAGCGTCCACTCCATATTTAAAAATGAGTAAAATTCTAAAAAGTATACAGTTTTATTTTCATGAACAATTCGAAATTCGAATTCAATAAACTTTTTTGTGGCCAGCATTCTAAAAGAAAAGTTTTTACTGTGTGACAATAGTTATGACCTGACTAGGTATATAACATTTTAACTACCGGACAGTTTTGTTGGGCTTTGTTAAAAGTTGTATGTCCTTGATTTTCATATCCAGATGCTATTTCAAGAGAACGTTTTATATTTTGACTTATAATTTTAATATTTCTTTCCTTTAACATCTGCGCTTAATGAGCGATATAAATAAAAATTGACGAAGCAATACCTAGAGAGTATGAACTTCCCGTCCTAGCTCTTTTTTAAGTTGTGTTGCCTTGTTGTGTACTTATATATTCGCGACAGTGCAACCCTGAGATATACATATATGATCGTAACGAACCTTCACGTAAACCACCACTGCCCTAAGTTTTTTTTACTCATTATAAGCCAGTGCTTGACCATAATCCCATCTGGTGGTAAGTGGTGATGCAGCCTTAGATGGTAAATCGCACTGTGTTAGTGTAACAAAAGCCTATTCACTCTTGACTTGACTTTGCTGTACGCATTACAAAAGACGAAGCAAACCGATTGGTTCTAATGCGTGGAATATCGATAACAAAGGGGTGAACATTCACCGACACTGTTGTCTGGTGGTGGAAAGGAGAGGGAGGAATTAAAGCGTGCAATTCCTGTACACACACCGAAATGTATCCCATAGAATACTAGTAGAATAGAAGTTATCGTGAAGTCACCCGCGTAAACCAAAAGTGTGACGAATGAAACTGTATGAGATTGTATGAATAATTTGAATGAGGCCTACAATAAATACAAAGTGAAAGTAGTAAGTAAGCAAGAAAGATCCTCCCTGCCTCCCGCAAATGAAAAAGCTATAGTAGTAATGCATGATACGAGGGTGGATTGAAAAGTACTCGGCCTAACACAGATCCATTCAATTCTAAAAATCAAATCTACCCACATTATTTAGTTCAGTTCAGACTAGTTCATTGTGTGAAGTTCGAAACGTGTGCGATAATTAGTTGTGATTTTATAAATTTATTAACAAAGTAATCGGACATAATTTCCGCGAATGGAGCAAATCGAGCAGCGTGCCGTCATTAAGTACCTCCATAAGAAGGGGCTATCATCAAAAGCCATCCATGATGACATGGTCAGTACATTAGGCGATTGTGCTCTGTCATATTCATCCGTCAAAAAATGGATAGCAGAATTTAAGCGTGGTAGAGAGAGTGTGAAAGATGAACCCCGCTCTGGAAGGCCTTCGACGTCAACTACTGACGAAAATATTAAAAAAGTACTTGATTTAATAATGGGAGACCGCAGATTAAAAATTATAGAGATAGCCGAGATTATAGGCATCTCTTATGAATGAACTCAAAACATCATTGTCAACGAGTTGGGTTTCCACAAGGTGTCTGCGAGGTGGGTTCCGCGACTGCTTTCAGTTGAACAAAAAAGGACGCGATTGACTATTTCACGCGACTGTTTGGAGTTATTTGAAGCCGATGCAGATGATTTTTTGAATCGTTTTGTTACTATGGACGAAACATGGGTTCATTACTATACACCGGAAACAAAACAACAATCAAAACAGTGGAGAAGACCTGGTTCACCACCCCCTAAAAAGGCTAAGTCGATTTTGTCGGCAAATAAGGTGATGGCTTCAGTATTCTGGGACTCGAAAGGTGTGATTATGATTGATTATCTTGAAAGGGGTCAGAATATAAACTCTGATTACTACTGCACCTTACTACGTCGTTTACGAGAGGAAATAAAAGAAAAACGTCGAGGAATGCTCAGAAGAAAAGTCCTGTTTCATCAAGATAACGCCCGTGTTCACACGTCAGTACAGTCAATGGCTGAAATTCACAACTGTGGCTTTGAACTGTTACCGCATCCGCCGTATTCACCTGATCTGGCACCATCAGACTTCTTTCTGTTCCCTAACCTAAAAAAGCACTTGGGAGGTCAAAGATTTTCGACAAACGACGAGGTCAAAGTAGCTGTAGACGCATATTTTGACTCTAAGGAAGAATCATTTTTTTTTCAACGGTCTAAATGCTTGGAAGGGGAGGTGGCAAAAGTGTATTGAACTTGATGGTGATTATGTAGAAAAATAAAAGTATAACTGATTTAGTATTTGTTTATTTTCTTGGTTAGGCCGAGTACTTTTCAATCCACCCTCGTATAAGTCGTTTTCTTCATAAAATGTTTATTTTTAACAGTTTACAATAACACTACAAAGTTATAATGTACTCGTAGATAGTTATTTTCTATGTGTCATTTTCTATGGAGTTGTAACGAAATTTTTACTAATCCAAATGCATTTTACAAGTTGGTCGACTATTACTCGTTATCTTTATTATATACTATTATCGTTTATACTTTACACATTTCCAAAAACAGCGGTTTAGTTGGTAGAGGGGGGACACATGTCTTAATGAAGAATACCACTATAAAGCTAAATATTTCGCAAACGGACCTCTGAATCGCAAAGATGTTATTCCATACCCCCAGTGTTTTTGCAAGACCTATCCAACGATACCCCAGACGATGGAATAGATGGGTAAATAAAAATTGTCCTCCATTTACTTGTATGGGAAATACCCAAAACAAAAATGTTTTTCAGGATTTTATTTTACAGTTTTCTAGGCGTGATTAATATCTACAACTACGCCAAATGACAGTAGCTTTGTAGCACCTAGGATCTCTGACTAATCGTAAATGAAACACAACAGTATTTATGCCGCTGCTAGGCGGTTTTACATTTACCGGTATAGCACCGGCATGCCGACGGCACGGCGACGGCGACGGCCCCGTGGCTTCGTTTTCCCACTGCGTCGGTGACATTTTATCATTTCACGAGTCAATTTCGAGTCTAAATCTCAACGCATCCCTTCTACTTCGGCCCGCGCACACGCACACACGCACACTTCCACAATATAGCTCTGCTATTGCTAATCGTCGTCAGGTGGACTCAATTTACATTGATTTCTCCTATGCATTTGACAAGGTCAATCACGAAAGGACGAAAATTAGAGGCTTATGGTATTCATAGTACGAGTAATTTACTTCGTTGGGTCAGATCGTACATATCTAGGAGGAGCCAGATTGTTGCGGTTAAAGGTTATTATAACTCTGCTCCAGCAGCGGTCACGTCTGGTGTTCCCCAAGGATCCCACTTAGTGCCATTGTTTTTATAAATTATTTTATTTTTTTTAAATAAAAAAAATAAATAAAATAAAAAAAAATTGTTTTTATAAATTATTTGGTTGACGTAATCCAGAGTCAGTGCCTACTTTATGCTGATGATATGAAGATATATCACGTGATAAGTGATGTGAATGACTGCATTGCATTGCAAAAAGATATAGATGCAGTTCACGATTGGTGTTCTGCTAATTTTATATCCTTAAATATCAGTAAGTGCTTAGTCTTCACCTTCGCTACTAAACACAATAACCTGGATTTCAAGTATAATATCAATAGCCAGCCTCTGACACGCAAGGAGATTGTTAAGGATTTGGGTGTATATTTCGATTCAAAACTTTCGTTCCGTTCACATTATGAGTATATTACGCAAAAAAGTTTTAGAACCTTAGGGTTTATAATTCGTGTAACGAAAGATTTCTCCAAACCTCTCGCATCATTTAGATTATTTTATAATATGGTTCGTTCTGTACTAGAGTATGCATCCATTGTATGGTCACCCTTTTATATGGTACATTCTGACAGCATGGAGAGGGTGCAGAGTAGTTTCCTTCGCAGTATTTGTGGCAGATATGGTCACTTGCGTCATATACCATCATACGACTCTCGACTAAAGTTTTTCATGGCCAACGATTATCTTTGAGGAGACAATTTGCCGAACAAGTTTTTTTGCACAAGATTGTACATTCTCATATAGATTGGCCAGAGTTACTACTATTACCTTCAATTCCGGTATACGACAACGTGTTCAAAGAATATTTAGATTAGACGTACACAAGAATAACACTTCCTTTTTCAACCCTGTTGTGAAAGTGTGCCGTAATTACGAAATTAAGCGTTCTAACGTACCTATTTGATAGTACCCTTGTTAAATTTAAAAGAAATTTACGTGTTTCTCTTAATTTTTAATGTATTTTTTTTATCTTGTTTATTTTTGTTATTCTACTGAAGTTATATTATTATGCTGTGTACACTTTTTTGGATTGTAGTTTAGATCAACACCATCATACTTTTAATTTTAGAACTGTCTATAACTACTGTCTGTTTGTGTACCTTATTCAATAAAAATAAAATAAAAATAAATACGTACACAATACACATGCAGTCCGACAACGACCCAACAAATAACACATTTAAAATAACTAGTGAGTAGTGACCTCATAAACACTCCAAAAAAGAAAAATGAAATCTGGACGTAAAATCGATAATACCTACGTGTGCCAAACCTCCGAAGTTGTATGGGTTACCAAAATACACAAGCCCAATGCTCCACTACGTCCCATAGTGAGCCAAATCGATTCACCAACTTACAGATTGGCTCAACACTTAGCGAAAATACTCTCGCCGCTCAGGAGACATATAAGAGCACACACAAAGCTACCATTTTGTCAGCGAGATTAAAGACCTACACCCAGCAGACAATGAAACTAATACTGTGGGCAAAAAATAGTAAGACTTTGTTCATAATTTTAAAATTCTTTATTTATTCTGCCAAATCTATTTCGTCTCCTTCAAAGTAATCCCCCCCGGCTGCAACACACTTATGCCAACGTTTTTTCCAATGCGCGTAACAGTTGTTAATGTCAATTTCCGGAATAGCCTTCAATGCGCGTAGCGATTCACGTTTAATATCTTCAATTGACTCAAAACAGTTTCCCCGGAGCGGTCACTTGAGTTTGCTGAACAGCCAGAAGTCGCACGGAGCTAAATCAGGCGTGGTTGTGGAACGATATTGGTTGAATTTTTGGCGAAAAACTCACGAAGAATCAATGCAGTATGCGTAGGTGCATTATCGTGGTGCAAAAACCAAGAGTTGTCGGCCCATAATTTCGACCTCTTTTTACAAATAGCTTCGCGCAAACGACGCATAACACTGAAATAGTATTCCTTGTTGACAGTTTGGCCGGTCGGAAGGAATTCGGAGTGCACCACACCTCGATGATCGAAGAAAACTGTCAACATGACCTTGATTTTTGACTTGCTTTGACGTGGCTTTTTCGGCTTCGGCTCACCTTTGGCACAATATTCGGCCGATTAATCGTCTTTTTCCGGGTCGTAAGCGTAGATCCAAGACTCGTCGCCAGTTATAATACGTTTCATGACATCCTGGTAGTCGGAAAGCATTGTTTCACAGACTCAACGCGACGCTGTTTTTCAAGAAAATTTAGTGATTTTGGAACCAACCGTGCATTCACTTTTCTTAGGCCCAAATGATCTTTTAAAATGGTTTACACTGATCCTTCCGATATTTCAACGACATCAGTAAGGTCTCTGACTCTTAATCGTCGATTCTCGAGCACCAATTCCTTGATGTTATTGACGTGTTGATCATCAGTTGATGTTGATGGCCGTCCTGGACTTGATTCGTCGTCAACGCGTTCTCGACCCTCTTTGAATAATTTGTACCAATCAAAAACACTTGCTCGCGACATACAATTATCACCGAAGGCCTTTTGTAACATTCTGAACGTTTCGGCACCAGAAATTTGATTCCGCACATAAAATTTAATGGAACTTCTTTGTTGAATAATTTCACTCATTGTAAAAATCGTCGAATGCACTTTTTGTACTTCAGAAAGACAAGCGTATACTAAACACTAATGATTACTTTGATAAAATAATCATTAGTGTTTAGTATGCGCTTGATAAATGATAGAAAAAAAAATTTTTCGACGAATGGATTTTTGGACGCGCGAAATTTAAATTAAAAAGTCTAACTATTTTTTGCCCACGGTAGTATGGTCAGTTTTAATGGGCAGTCTCTGTTCTTACCTGTTGAAGACTGCATCTCGATTGTAACTAGAAGGCTGGAGGAAAACAACATGCCCGTAGAATACACTGCTTTACATCTGGCTACCTAATGTGGAAGGAAGACTTCTACGAGCAAGTAGATAGTATGGCAATGGGCTCACGTGTATCTCCCATTGTCGCCGATATATTCATGGAAAACTGAGGAGAAAGCCTTGCTTACTTCTCCCGTAAATCCAAGTTTCTACAAGCGGTACGTAGACGACACTTTCACAATTCTACCTTTAGATAAAGTAACTGCATTTTTAGACCATCTTAACTCACAAGTCACAATGGAGTTAGAGGCAAACAATTCTTTAGCTTTTCTAGATGTGTTAGTAATTCGGAATCCTGAAAACACCTTGAGCCACATTGTGTATAGAAAACAGACCCATACAGATAGATATTTAAGCGGTGATTCTCATCACCATCCTTCAAAGTTAGCTAATGTGGGTAAATCTTTGTTTCAGAGAGCACGAGGGATCTGTGACAGTAAACACCTGGCCGCCAAGCTGCAACACGTCAAGCAAGTTTTACACGACAATAAGCTTCGGGTCCCGCGCCTACGTCACAGTGAACGAGTGAAGCCGGTCACACTCGAGCGAGTGCCGGTTGTACTGCCATATGTTAGAGGTGTCACTGATAAGATTAGCTACATCTTGAAGCGTGCTTCCATTAAAACATACTTCAAGCCGCCGCAGAAAATTAGTCAGTTTTTACCATCAGTCAACTGTAATGTCCCTCTGCAAGATGCATAGGACAAACTAAAAGATCAATAAAAACTCGCGTTAAAGAACACAGCTGATGTGAAGAATCGACGCTCCGGCAAGTCTGCAGTCTGTGAACACGTACAGCATCGCCCCCGTCACTACATTAGATTTGATAGATCACAAAGCCTCGCAAAAGAACATGGATTCATTCCAAGGATGATTCGCGAGGCTAATGAAATCAAAAGACATCCTAATTTCAATAGAGAAGATAGCTGGGTGCAACCATCTGTTTGGGATCCTATAATTAATAAAATTAAATCCCAACCCAAGCATACAACTGCAAGACTTCAAGATACTGTAAGTTCATACTGTGTAGATCGGAACAAAAATTAATAATTTTTAATCTGGAGGTAGCCGTGGTTAACTATGACATTGGGACGTCAAACACCTCAGGCCCCCCGTGACCAAGGGTGCTGTAAACTACTCGAAACGTCGGGTATATAAAATAAGTTAAGATACGCGATATAATACGTAAAACTAATTTTATTTAATTTTTTTATATGCATTAAATTGAATACTTACTTACTTATCTTCACGCACAATCCCTGACGGGGTAGCCAGAGAGAACAGATCGCCAAGTGTCACGATCCTTACATACCTCTTTCGCTTCTTTCAGATTCATTATCTTCTTCATTCATGCACGTCTAGGTATCCGAGTACTCTTCGAGCAATTTGCTCACATGGTCTTCAAAAGTTAGTCTCGATCTACACCTTTTAATATTTACTTTCGCGCTATATATTTTCTTCACCATTCGGTCTTCACTCATTCGCTCAACGTGCCCAAACCATCGAAGCACGCCCTTATCAATTTTTGTGATAAGGTCTTCTTTCAAACCTGCTATATTGCGAATCTCTTCGTTTCGCTTTCGGTCAGCCATGGTAACGCCGCACATTTTACGAAGAGATCGCATCTCCACTGCATTCAACTTACTTTTATGCTTCTTCTGGCATACCCAGGTTTCGCTGCCATATAACAAAGTCGGTACCAACACTGCGTTTTTTATTGCAAGGCGTGCACTCTTCACTACGCCTTGCCTTTTGACTAACGCAGTCAGGGCACCATTGACTTTGTTCCCGGCAGCGATACGCCTGTCCACATCTAAATCACATTTTCCATGCCGGCTGTAAGCACTCCCCAAGTATACAATTTCATTTACCTGTACTAGACATTTCTGATTTACCCATATTTCACACTTCGTTCTCTCTTCGTCCCTTTCAAATACCAGAACCTAGTTTTATTAGCATTCAAACGGAGACCTTTCATTTCACATTCCTCTTTCATACACGTGACTAATGCCAGCAGTTCTGCCTCTGATGGTGCAATAAGCACTGCATCATCAGCATACAGCAGACAATTTACTTTAATGTCACCCAATTTCACACCCAAACAGCTATCTTTCAGCTTGTGTAAACAGACATGACACAACCCTGTTTTACGCCCGTTTGGACGCTAAACATGGGTGACAGGTCATGCCCTACCCGCACACGCTTTACAGTCACAGTAAAGTGACTGCACAGCCCTTAGCAATCGACCATCCACACCATACCCCGGCAACAGTTCCCACATTTTCTTCCTTACAACCTTATCAAATGCTTTCTCAAGATCTACAAAAGCACAGAAAATCCTCTGGTTAGCAGCCAAAAGCATCTCCTTGATCATGCGGAGAGAAAACATTTGATTCGTGCATGCTCTTCCAGGTCTAAATCCGCATTGTGCCTCCCATAGAATTCTTTCTGATTTCTCTTGCATCCTTCGTGTCAAAACCATCGAGGAAACTTTACTTTCTAAACTGGTCAAGCTGATCGCCCGATAGCACCCGCAGCCAAAATGTGAACCTTTACCTTTATATAAAGGCACAATGACTGCGGATCGGCAATCATCCGGGACATCCCCCGTCCGCCAGCACAAATTGCACAGCAGATGAAAACTGTCCCAGACGCGAGGCCCACCATACTTGACCATTTCAGCAGTAACTCTGTCTAGTCCTGCAGCCTTACCACATTTCAAACTTCGAATCGCACGTTCAATCTCTTTCATACTAATGACCTCAGTGTCATCGAGGTCCGGGTCTGGCGTACCAGTCACGGCGTCACCCCTGATTCCCTCGCTAAGATCATCACACGCATACATTTCTCAATAAAATTCGTTCCATCGCTGCATGACGTCCGATTTTTCTGAGAGGACGTCATTGGTTCTTGAAAGCACTTTGTTCATTCTTAAGGCCGTCGCACCACTTCGGGTCCTTTCAACCTCTTTCCAGAAGAGTTTGGAGTTCTCCTTAAAGTTCTGCGACAACCTTTCGTCCGCTTCCATTCTACACCTTTCACGCACTTCCTCAATCAATGTTTTCGTATGAACTTTCTGCAGCTTATATCTTTCTTTCATCTTCTCTCTCATATCCTTATCATTACTAGAGGCCAAGTAGTCTAACCATGCTTTCTTCTTCTTCTTTACAGCTTCTTTCACTTCATCATTCCACCATGCATCTCTTCTTTTACTACTACTCTTTTTATCGTTCCACACACTTCTTCCGCTGCACTTACCATTCCACCCCTAAGGTTCTGCCATGTTCTGTCCACACATTCCTTTCTGCTCGATGGTGTCAAGCTTTTCGGCTACCCTCGCATGATATTTGTCCTTAGTATCCGCTTCCTGAAGCTTCCAGCTTCGGATGCGACAGATCGACTGTGGTTCTGTCACTGCTGTCCTATAGCGCCAACCCGCGCACAGACCCCTAAATCTAGTAATCACTAGATAGTGATCCGTTCCTAGGTCAGCATCCCTGAACACTCGCGTATCCATCACCTGTTTTCACAGTCGGTCATCCACCAGGAACAAATCGATCATACTTCTCTCATTCTTTCTTTCTCTAGTATATATATGGATTTTCTTGTGATTAAACATAGTGTTTGTCACAAGAAGACCCTTTTCCTTGCATACAGCCAGTATAAGCTGGCCAGCATCATTAACCCTTTTATCGCCAAACTTTCCAAGCACCGACTCGTACCCTGGTCGAGCGGTACCAACCCATCCATTCAAATCACCACATACAGCAATTCTTTCGTTTCCCTTAACCAAATCTAGAACTTCTCTTACATACTCCCAAAACTCCTCCAGCTCAGCCCTGGACGACGAAGCTACCGGTGCATAAACAGCCAAAAGGAATAACTTCGTCAGTCCCAATTTAAAGCGAACCCAGAGAAATCTTAAGTTCACAACCTTATATTCAGTCATAACATCGACCAACCGATACGACAGCAGCACCCCCACTCCCTGGCAGGCGCTCTCGCTCTCCGGGACTCCAGACCGTAGAGCTAACGTCCCGCCAGGGAGCTCTTCAGTACCACTGCCCTTCCGTTTGGTCTCCGACATAACACGACATATAATTCTCTTTCTTTCATTAT